ATCTTTCCAGAATATACGCAGGTCTTGCTTTGCCCTTGAAGATGCTAATTTCCTAGGAGACAGGGTCCATATATGCTTTTTCTGATACCCCATGCTTGGTAAAAATTTGTCCATTTTAATTTAACGGGCTTTTTAAAAAATCACTTCATAAATTACAAATAGAACATGATCTTCGGCTTTCTCTTTCCTCTCTCCCTAATTTTCCTGCTTGTATCAGTCCCACATCCAGAAGACTCTCCTTTATTTTTGTTCATGGTGTCTGTACCTTTTCAGTGATAGTTGGGTTTTGCTTTGTCAGCTATACTTACTTCTTTATACTCTACCACACCTAACACAGTGCAATAAGTATTTTATTGAATTATACTCTGGTTTTTCTTGTTTTTACTTGAACTTTTGGTTGAGGCAATGGGAGGCTTGGGGAGAAAAATGAAGTTGAAGAGAATTTTTCAGGTTACATAGATGATATAATAATGGGTAGAGAAAGCTTAGAATTTTCATGCAATCAAGTCACTTTCCACCCAGACACATTCTTATCAGTGCATAAACACTATCGATATGGACTGGAACAGCTAGAACCAGGGACTCAATGCCATGAAAATGCCTTTTCTCCATTGCTTATCTTTGCTTTCCTTTGCGCACTAGCTTCATTCTTTTTTCTCTGTATAATGTCTTTCTCCATGTGACAAAAGAAGCTCCAAAACTTTACATCTTACAACCACAGCCACATGCATAGAGACTGACCTAAAAGTCCTGAGAAGAGATTCATTGGCCCAGTTGGGATCAGGTATTCACCCCTGGGTGGTTGGTTGACTGCAGCAGGGCCAGGTCATATGATTGGCCCATTTGATTTACCACAAACTCCCTCATGCAGACCCGTAGCTAGGTCAGAATCTACTAACATGGTTATCTCCATAAGTACACTCAGATGGGGATATGGAGCACTTCTAAGAAAAGGAGTACTGAACAACCAACCTTATATTAGGTTGTCGGAAAAGTCATGACGTATTTTTTCTATGTTTTTCGTTGCAAAACCCAATAGATGTCCACTGCAGATGTTCTTTAAAGAGAGATGATCTCATCACTTAGCTCACATACCTTAGTGCTACCTCAGGGAACCCCAGCTAAAACCTAGCCAACCCAGCATTCATCCACGTGTGTACAATTTAGGCAGCATGGCTAAAATTCTTAAAACAGCTGAGCAACCCTGATTTCTGTGTGTCACTGGTGGTATTGTAAAGCATATATGCTATACTAAATTTTGAATAGCTGGGAAAGAAGGCAAAGCGGTCACAAAATCAGACCAGCGAACATACAACCATTGTACAGTGGTGAGAATCACTGTCCTTAAGTAATATTCTCCATCCCACCTTTATTATTTCCTGTTATGCTTCCTTAGTTCTATTCTGATATGGTCTCAAGGTAAGAGAGCATCAAATATATCCTTAAAATAAAGGCACTTAATCATACATTGACAGATACATAAGATATTATCAATGTCATTATTACAAGTAGAAAAATCAAATCAAATAACAAAATCTAACAGTGTGTGTTATCAGTTCAATTTAGTATTACGAGTGAAAAGTATCTAGTAACCATCTTTTCTTGGGCTGCTGAAGCATATATACTTCTGGATATCTAATTCAGGTAGAAATTGTTCTTGGAAAACTATGTCATCAACTTTTAAACAAATTTGTCATGCTATAATTTCATTAAGATCAAGAAACCACTGTTAAAAAATTAATTTATTTCCCAGATTATAGAGATTACACAAAAGGATAGAGAATAACGTTAGGAGGGGGAGGGGGAAACAATGAAAGTATGTTTTCCCCCCTAAACCTTACAGAAAAAACTGTAAAGACTAGTGCACTGTTACATGAGTCCTCAGTATTTTACCAACTTGCTCCAGCAGAAGCAAAAGCCAGTCCAGGCAATTTTGAAACGGCAGTGATTTTCATCACTTTCCCTACCTTTCCTCAGCTCCACTTTTATAACTGCTCCTAAAATCCAATGCCAAAAGGTTTGTCATTAGCAATGCTGTTTTTCCTCTAACAATTTCCTCTGGCTTAAAAACGGCAAATATTTAAAACATGTCATAATACTAGTGACATGGGATCAGACAGAGGGCCTCTTTAGGATAGCACATCTTCATTTCAGGGTGTCATCTTCAATAAAGATGTCTTTTCCAATAAAATAGGGCTTAAATAGTACAATTTCAATGGGCATCTCCCCTACCCATGCCTAACCTTCCGATCATTCTTTACCCTATCATGCCCACCCTCCCTCCCACTTAATCCACTTTCTCCAACAAATTCGGTTCTCTTCCATTCATTCATCACTTTGCTTCCTATTCCTCTCCATTCTTTTGTCCACCCACTTTCCATCATTTTTTTCACACCACCCAAACTTCAACCATCCCAGCTGGGGAACAGAGCCTTTGTTCAGACTCCAGGGCAGCCTGTTCAGCATGTACGAACTGACCCTGCTATTCCTCAGCTCAAGGAAAAACCAACAAATACCTCGATACAATTACAGCTGTACCAGGATGCATAACCATGGCAGGAACAAAGCTGTAAACATACTTCACCATCTCTGCAAGAGCTTATGCTTCAGAGTGCATGCAAGCTTTAGAAACACTTTACAGCGAGGATTTGTATGTTTTATAGATGCTAAAATCATGCTGGTTGTTTGAATTTACATAACATGCTTTCGGGTGTAAGTCTGTGTTTTGTGCTGTTTGGAGATGGGGGCCACACAAAAACAGGATGATGCTATTAGTATCAGTTTATTTTCAAAAACACTGATGTTATTCTAGCTGGTTTATCTTTATGTATGATATTGGGTTGTCAGAAAAGTCATGACATATTTTTTTTCTATGTTTTTTGTTGCAAAAATGCGTCATGACTTTTCCGACAACCCAATATTTATGTGATAGTTAGACTGCCTTTTTTGGTTTATATAGGTAACTCATTAGCACATTCCTCAGTATAGCCCTTATGGCTCCTGTTTGGCCTCATCTGTGGAGATGCAGAAACCAAGCCCAGAGGGAGGAAAGATCCTTATTTTACTCCTGAAAAGTCTCTTCAAATTGGCCATTCCTCCCTTGACTTCAGTTCCTACTATTACCCACAATTCCTCCCTCCCATGTATTGCTCAGTTCCTCCATCTCCCTCACCCTGGCCCTTGCAGTTCCTGTAAAACTTCCCTGAGCAGATAGATGAAATAGAGATAGAGATAGAGATAGAGATGATAGAGATACAGGTAGATACACACACACACACACACACACACACATACACACACACAGAGCAATCCACTCTAATGAACTAAAGTAAATATCTCAGGCCAAGCCTGTCAGAGCTTGGGTTTGCTATTAAATTGCATATTCAGGGTGGCTGGATAGCTCAGTTGGTTAGAGTGCAAGCTCTGAACAACAGGGCTGCTGGTTCGATTCCCACATGGGCCAGTGACGGTGCGCCCTCTACAGCTAAGATGGTGAACAACGGCTCGACCTGGAGCTGGGCTGCTGTGAGCTGCCGTGAACCTCAGCCAGGTAGAACGCAATGCTCATAATACCAACATGGGCCAGTGAGCAGCGTCCTCCACAGCTAGACTGAGAACAATGGCTCGGAGGTGGGTGGTGGAGGGGAGGAGGGAGGAAGGGAGAGGAGGGAAGAGGAGCGGAGAGGGGGAAAAATTGCATATTCAGGACCCTTAAAGGTACTGAGGCCTAGTGCTGGGAAACTAGAGAAACAATGTGTCTCACAGGAAGCCCAAATGGAATACTTTGGTAATTGGAGCTGCTCCGTCTGTGGTTTCCAGTCTGGAACCATAAGCGTTGAGAAACACTCTGGGTGGCCAGTGAGGGAGCGGGAGGCAGAGATTGCGAGAGGGGTTCTCTGCTAATGGAGCATATCCAGGAGGCTCAGAATTCTGTCAAGTCATTCCAGGACCCAGGGCGCCCCCCCAAGGCCAAGCTGCTTGTAACACTACCTCTCCGTGCCTGCAGCCTACCTACATATTCTTGTCATTCCACACCCGGCCAGCACACACCACACAGAACTAATGTCAACCAGATTCAGTCCCCACCGTTTCTTGGGCTTCCCCTCCCTAATGATGATGCCACCATGGTTGAGTCTCCTCCCCAGGAGCCTCCCCACTTCCTCTGTCATCACAGAGAGACACACAGATTCAGTGACATTTGAAAGACTAAAAATACAGAGATGATAAGGCACACTCCTGGACCAGGAGAAGCAAACAGCCTGAGAGAAAGGAACGTGGAAATAAATCAATATAAGTCAATGACATTAACTCTAATAGAGGAATATGCAAAGTACCCCGAATACAGCAAGAGTGAATTGTTGCTGGGCAGTTTTTTCCTTAGTTTTTTCCATCATATTAGTTTCCTATTGTGGCTGTAACAAATTACCACATACTTAGTGGCTTAAAACAACACAGATTTATTATCTTATAGTTCTGGAGGTCAGAAGTCTGACACGAGTTTCACTGGGCTAAAATCAGGGTGTCGGCAAGGCTCTGTTCTTTCCTGAAGGCTCTAGAGGAGAACCCATTTTTTTGCTCTTTCCAGCTTCTAGAGACCACCTGCGATCCGCGGCTGATGGACCCCTTCCACCCTTTTCATCATTGCTGCATTTCTCTGCGCCTCTCTTCACATCTTCCTCTGAATCTCTGACCCTCTCTCTGTCACTTTTAATGACTCATGTGAATACAGTGGGCCCACCAGGATAATCTCCCTATTTTAAAATCAGCTGATTAGCAACCTGAATTCCATCTGAAATCTTAATTCCCCTTGGCCATGTAACCTAAGGTTCCTGCAATTAGGATAGGGACATCTTTAAGAGGCCTATATCTCACACACACACCAAAAACATTCTATAATTATAATAAATATATAAATACACACACACACACACACACACACACACCCCAACCTGAGTTCCACACACATCCCTCCCTGCCCCATTATGTAGCAGCAGCCTTACCTCCACCTGCTGATTGAGGGCAATTACCCCTGCCAAGATGGTGACTCCTTGGCCATAGAAGTCCAAAGCCCTGGAGTAGCCATACTTGTAGTTCAGTGGGACCCTCACTATGTCCCTTGCAGGAGGATGACCCTTTGTGGAACAGAACCTCAAACTCTGAAGAGCTCAAAGCTGCAGGCTCAGGAAGCATAAAGTCCCCCAGAGGATCATATCAAATGAACTCAAATAGAGTTTGGAGGCTTTGGCTAGAAATAAATGATAAAGATTTATTCAGGTCTTAGAGCTTGCAGACTGCAAATACAACTAGGCAAAAACCAAAAGTGTTCTGAAGAAGAAAGCAAAGCTAGGAGTTCTTATAGTAAAAAGTGCGTTCTTGAGACTCAGTTTTGATTCTTAGCCCTAGGACTGGCCCAAAATGGTTATCAGTCAGATGTCACATGGTCTGGATGATAAACGCCAGATGGCCTGGAGGATGCGTGCCAGGAGGTCTGGTCACGTCCACTGCTCTGGATAATGGATGTCAGGTGGTCTGGATACGTGAGTCCTTCAGGGGGTAATCAGAGGGTTATCGGGAGGTCTGATGTGTATCCAGGCATTGATGCAGGACTGGAAAGTTCAAAAGTTTAAGTTCCCAGGCCAGTTAAAACAAGAACTGAATACTTTCTTCATGCCTCAACCTACTTGATTTTAGTAAATTAGGTGCTCGGCTATCTATAATGGCTTGATTTCATTTCTTCACTCTATTCGGCAGTCATTAGTATTGCAGGAGTCTTGGTAAGGAGACAGAATAGTGGCCTAGAAAGACACAGAGAGGAGATGACATTTTCTTCCCTTTGAGAAAAAGAGACTAAATTATCCAAATTGGATTTTCCAGTTTCATAACTAAACACTATAAAAAGACGCTAAGAAAGTTTTCAAAAAAATTAAAGGGGAATGTGTTTATTTGCCCTTCTGTCTCACGTTATCATACATGCCTGACTAAATAAAATACGTTGTTTTAATTGAAGGCACCCATGGAAGCTGGCTAGGTACCACTGTGCCAATGGCCCAGTTGCTCATTTCCTGGAAGGAGAGTTCCCTGAGACACCTAGCCATGACATTGTCACTACCAACCCAGATGAATCTTATACTGGAGGCAACTAGGGCTATGTGTCCTCAGCAGAAGTGAGTTAGATAAGCAACACATCCGTTTTTGCTGCATTCTCAGAGGACTCAGTTCCACACTCTAGGAGAAGTAACATGCCTCTCTCAGGATGGTTCTGAGCTGAGCCCCGGTCGCTGAGGGAGATTCACTGTTTGCTAACATGAATTCTGTCCCTGGGTAGACAAATCTCCAAACCAACTCCTCCACGTGTCATGTTTGTTCAAGTCAAGATATATATCAGTGCCTACTCTGTGAGAGAAAAGTCTGCTTGGGGCTAGAGCCACAGACCGAAAACAACAGTCCCTGCCTCCAAAGAACATACAGTGGAGTAAAGACAGTCTATTCAATAAACAGTGTTGGGAAAACTGGACAGGTATATGAAAAAAAATGAAACTGGACCACCTTCTTACACCATATACAAGAAGAAGCTCAAAATGGATTAAAGACTTAAATGTAAGACCTGACACCACAAAACTAGAAGAAAACATGAGAAATAAACTCTCTGACATTGCTCTTAGTGATATTTTTTCTGATATATGAAGGTCTGACAATTAAGTTTGCAAACTTTGTTGCAACAATATTGCTAAGCTTTTTTGATACCAGAGGGATTATTCATTATGAATTTGTACCAAATGAACAAACAGTTAACCAAGTTTACTATGTAAAAGTGCTGAAAACGCTGCATGAAAAAGTTAGATGACCTGAACTTTTCGCCAACAATTCATGGCTCTTGCATCACAACAATGCACCAGCTCACACAGCACTATCTGTGAAGGGGTTTTTAGCCAGTAAACAAATAACTGTATTGGAACACCCTCTCTACTCACCTGATCTGGCCCCCAATGACTTCTTTCTTTACCCAAAGATAAAGGAAATAGTGAAAGGAAGACATTTTGATGACATTCAGGACATCAAGGGTAATACAACGACAACTCTGATGGCCATTCCAGAAAAAGAGTTCCAAAATTGCTTTGAAGGGTGGACTAGGCACTGGCATCAGTGCATAGCTTCCCAAGGGGGAGTACTTCAAAGGTGACTGTAGTAATATTCAGCAATGAGATATGTAGGACATCTTCTAGGATGAGTTCGCGAACTTAATTATCAGATCTCATATCTCCCTGGGCAAGGGAAACAAAAGAAAAATAAACACGTGGGACTACGTCAAACTAAAAAGTTTTTGCACAGCAAAAAAAAAACCATCAAAAAATGAAAAGACATCCTACTGAATGGAAGAAGATACTCGCCAATGATACATCTGATAAGGGGTTAATATCCAAAATTTATAAAAAACTCATACAACTCAACACCAAAAAAAACCCAAAAAAACAAACAATCCAATTGAAAAATGGGCAGAGGACCTGAATAGACATTTCTCAAAAGGGGACATACAGATGGCCAACAGACATATGAAAAAACACTCAATGTCACTAATCACCAGAGAAATGCAAATTAAAACCACAATGAGATACCACCTCACACCTATCAGAATGGTTATCATCAATAAATCAACAAACAACAAGTGCTGGTGAGAATGTGGAGAAAAGGGAACCCTCATGCACTGTTGGTGGGATTGCAAATTGGTGCAGCCATAAGGAAAATGGTTTGGTGGGTCGTCAAAAAATTAAAAATAGAACTACTTTATGACCCAGCAATCCCACTTCTGGGCATTTATCCGAAGAAACCAAAAACACTAATTTGAAAAGACATGTACGCCCCTATGTTCAATGCAGCACTATTTACAATACCCAAGACACAGAAGCAACCTAAGTGCCCATCAATAGACAACTAGATAAAGAAGATGTGGTACATTTATACAATGGAATGTTACTCAGCCATAAAAAAGAATGAAATCTTACCATTTGCAACAACATAGATGGACTTAGAAGGCATTATACTAAGTGAAATAAGTCAGACAGAGAAAGACAAAAACCATATGATCTCACATTATATGTGGAATCTAAAGAACAGAATAAACAAACCAGAAACAGACTCAGAGATACAGAGAACAAACTGATGGTTGCCAGAGGGAAAGGGGGATGGGGGATGGGTGAGAAAGGTGAGGGGATTAAGAAGCAAAAATTGGTAGTTACAAAACAGTCGAGGAGATGTAAAGTACAGCATAGAGAATAAAGTCAATAATGTTGTAATGACTATGTATAGTGCCAGGTGGGTACTAGACTAATGGGGGGGGAGGGGGGGGATCACTGCATAAATTATGTAAATATCTATCCACTATGCTGTACACCTGAAACTAATATAACATAATACTGAATGTCAACTGTAACTGAAAAAAATAATTTAAAATATGGGGATAATAATTATACTCAACACACACACACACACACACACACACACACACACACACCAGTCCCTGCCTCAGAGGGGCTCACATCTGGCTTCCTGCCTCATTTCCTGGCTGAGGAAAGTGAGGCTCTGAACTTTCGAGTTTCTTCCTCTGATGTGTTCATGCTGTAATACTCCCTTCATTGAGTACCTTCCTCCCTTCATGACTCACAGGGCCTAACTGAAGTCCTGCTTCTTCTAAAAGGATTTCCTGACTCCTGTAATCATTATTAACTTTCACTTTCTCTACATTTCTATTTCACTAAGTCTGTATCTGACAACTTACCACTTAATTATACTTTGCCTTGTATTATTTCTTTTTTTTTAAGATTTTTTTTTATTGGGGAATTGGGGGGATGGGAACAGTGCTGGGGAATTGGGGAAAGGGGAACAGACAAGTTGCTGTCGTTTTGTTCTTCAGCCTAGTTGTGGAGGACGTTGCTTCACTGGCCCAAGTTGGCACCATCATTGCGCTCTTCCCGGGCGAGGCAGATCAGTCGCCGGCTTCTGGGCAGCCGCTCACTGCGGCTGCTGGCCGCTCACGCTGGCTGCTGGCTACACACGGTAGCCCATGGCAACCCACTGCCACAGGGTCTGCAGCCTAGCCGTCGCTGGCGACTCATGGCAACCCAGCTCCAGGTTGAGCTGTTGTTCAGCATCTTAGCTGTGGAGGGCAGTGTCACTGGCCCTCATATGTGGGATCCGAACCGGGGCCCTCTGGCGTCCCAGGCCAGTTCTTAACCATCGCGCCACTCGGCCGGCCCTTGTATTATTTCTTTATTTGACGTGTCCATCATGGTACTCCAACGATCTTATAAGCTTCTTGAAGACAGTAGTCATCTTTTAAATTTTAAGTCTGGGCAACATCATTAATTCTCAATATCTAGTTATGATTTAATTGACTGACTGATGGAAACCAGCTCCTGAGCAGGCTGGTAATGGAGGGAGAGGAGTGGTAAGCAACGTTCCCTCCTTCAAAGGCTAGTCTGGTCCTAACCCAGCCTTCAAACACCAGCTGGTCTGAGTTGAAAGAGCCTTCCATAAAAGCATAACATAAAAACAAAAGGATCTACATTATAGATCATATTATGGTCCATCCAATTAAGTTAGGTCCATCACAGTGAAAAAAAAAGTGATTTATTATATGGGAGAACAACATATTTAATGATAAATGTCAATCCCAAAAGCTACCATCCACAGCATCCTGAATTTAATCTAATCAGTCTGCTATCCATGCATTAATCTAAACCTTTTAGATGCTATTAAATTAAAAATAATCGTTTTTCTTATTGCCATAAAAGGTTGTTTTTTCCTCCCCGTCCCACACCTGTTCCTGCACCTCCTACAAAAGCTTAACAGAAGGAGGGCATTTAGTAGGGAAAGAGCGACTCTTTGTAGCATTATAATGCATGACAGCACACTGATGTTGGCAGTGGGAAAGGTCTGATTTTCTGTAGCTCAACCTCTCTGAGGGAGGACCATAAGAACCTCTTTCTTTACTTCCATCTTCCACTTCCTTGCAGGATTCAAGTCCAAGGAAATCCTCAATCCTTCTTTACCCCCTAGCCTGTCTCATCCAAAAGGTACTGGATGACTGACAGCCCGCTGTAGGCTAAGGAGAGGAAGAAGCCCAAAGGGCTGGGTTTTCCCTATGACCTGGGAAAAGACAGTCCCTACTTTCTTCTGCTCACTCGTGGGAAAGTTGGAGTGATGTTTAGGTCTGTGTTGCTTTGTGTCTATATTCTATTTTCCTATTATAGCCTAATTTTTCCCCTAGTACTTCAGCAGAACTTTTCCCCTGGTACACTAGGTTCTTCTGGAAAGGAAAGGAAAAAGGAAGGGAAGGAAAGGGAAGGGAAAGAGGAAGGGAAGGGAAAGAGGAAGGAAAGGGAAAAGGAAAAGGAAGGGAAGGAGAAGAGGAAGGGGAAGGGAAGGAAAGGGAAGGGGAAAGCCTGCATCGTGAGCATCTTATCTCCCACCTCCAAAGGCAAAGGCTTTTCACATTTTTATGCCTCCAACCCTCTTCCATCCTATAGTCAGCCAGAACTTGGTGTGTTGTAGGAAGGCATCTGACAGTGACCTCTTTCCCTGAAGAGAAGATATCATTGAAGAAGTCCAAAGAACTCAAAAGGGAGAAGAGAGTCCCATTGGTAGAACCAAAGA